CGCAAAACCGTAAATAGATGAAGAGGGGCAGAAACGGGAGCCGCGGGATTGTCGGGTGGTTGTTGTGGTGGTTGTTATTATTACTACATATAGGGCAGTGGAGCCCGGATTATTCGGTGGCTGGCAAACATGGCACGTTGTTGTTATGTGTGCCGGTTGTTCCCAAAGGGCTGATCACCTCACTTTATTGCTCCCTAATTTAGCCTCGACCTGACTTGACCTGACCTGACCTGACTCTGACTTGAGTGACTATCTGGTACTGACCATGGCTAACTATGGCCCGCTGCTAACGCGCCTAGATCGAACTGGCCTCGGGGGCGCGTGGGTTGCGAGTTATTGAACCTAACCCCGATGACTACTGGATTCGGTTAGTTAGTTACTATCTACTGTGTTCCACTTGTCTTGTATTATTATTATAATTGTGCCCCAAAGAAAAAAAATAAATAAATAAATAAACACTTACCCAAGACGGGCTAAGAAAGTCTGTTGTCCGCTTGTCTCATGTGCCACGCATCCTCATTCCCACTTTGCCGCCTCATGACATCTCGACTGTCTTCACAGTTCACAGTTCACACAGTCATAATCCTGTATCATCATCATCCACTTGCAGTGAAACTAGACTTACAATTCCCCTCGTTTACTATTATAGCAACTGACTATATACTTCGGACGTGTCACCACCCATCGTAAACAGTCTCCACAAAACCCCATACCATACCTGATGATCCAAATGTTGTCTAAATAATAAGTATACTGGTCATTCTGCGCTCATCAAGCATACACAGTAACATACAGTAAAAGCAAAGCAAAGCAAAGCAGAAGCCACTTTAGACTTTCGTGACCTGGAACTAAACTATCTATCTATATACGAAACTCCCCGACTTGATTGCTTGCTTTGATTGATTAATTGATGCCTATCTGGTGTATGGACCTCCGTTATTTATTTACGGAGTATCTTTCAGTAACTACATAGGAATTACTTAGTTACTTTCCGTCTTTGTGCGGTCCAGATTTCTAATTATATCACCGCACCGAAACGAAACGAAACTATTGATTTCGTAGACCTTCTAGAAGGAAGTGAAATATTGAAGGCAACTAACTCTCCGAGATGATCGGATCGTCCCTACATGGTAGCTTTGCCTCACTTGGTTCAAGGTTACGTGTGGAACAATGAATGCTGTGGTAGGAGTAGAGTAGTCATGGTTGTTGTGTGCGTGGTGATGGATGGATGCATGCATTAGGGACGATCTGTGTAACGCGTGTTTAGTAGTTGATGGGGATCGCTTATTATCGGGGTTTGGGGTGAAGTTGAACTGCTGGGGTTGAACCTTTGGTTTGTTGTGGTTAAGTAGTACGTAGTTGGTGTGTGCGGTGTTTGTGTCACTGCGTGGGTACTGGTTACTGAGAGGTCGGTGTTTGGTTGTATACTTTATGGATTGCCAATTCTGTGTACATTATTTTGTAGTATTTGCCTGTGTATTGCATCATGGTCGTAGAGGAAGCAGTTAGTACCATTGGTATGGGGTTTGAAGACTAATGCCATCGACAATGTCATGTAGGAGGACATAATGTTGAGGGTATCCCTACCCGTCAACCACTACTAAAAATATATATCTACATCGCCGCATGATCACAAGCAACAACCACACCAAACCTACAATCACCACCAAACCATCACAATAACCCCTTTAAACCTCATAATCCATGTAGATAACCCACCAACACACATACAACCGAATTCAACAATCCCAATTTCTGCATCCATACCATCTCCATCACATTGACACCAATTCATGCACCATGACCGCCGGACCGGCAACGACGTCATACCCGCCGCCTTTCTTTCACCGTTTGCGACCTCTCATCAACCCACTCCAACCTGTACAATGACGACCACGCAATAGTGTCATCACGATCAGCATGAGTCGATCTATTTGAACATCCAAATAACCCAAATTCACACACATATGCACCATGGATGGAGAGGAAAAGCCAGCATTACACCGCGATCACGTAGGTTGTTCAGCATACCCAGTGTTCACCGCAGAACGAAGCTAACTTATCCGAAAGAGTCGCGGCGGAACGGATGGATATTCGTCAGATACACATAACCAGCTCGAGGTAATCATGATTATGATATCTCGCAATGACCGGAGTGACTAACACAAGATATATCCGCTAGGTCGTCCTCCAACCCGAATGCAGCCATCGTCGCAAATCCTCCCTTGTCATGGCAGATGATCCCATGACGAGACCCGATCTTTCGCATGCCGACCAGACGACAGCGTGCTTCGTGCACTCACTGATAGCAGGGGAATGGGGGGATCCGACGAATAAAGTGAAGGTTTTAGAGGGGGTATTGAAGGGGACCAAGGACGAGAAATTGAAAGAAAAAGAAGAAGAAGCAGCAATGGAGGAAGACGACGAAGACGAGATAGAGAAAGAAATGATGCAATCACGACACCTGACGAAGAAGCAGTTATCCGATATGGCGTGGAACGTGCGCAAGCTGTCCAAGAAGCTGGACAGTATCAAATTGAAACTCACGGTCAAGACGGTATTCCTGGTCACCAAGGCGGGCGATCAATCGGTGATTGGATCGACGAGGGAGGTCGCCAGGTGGCTTCTGTCGAGGGATCGCGATACGCAGTATAATGTGTATGTGGAGAAACGGTTGGAGACGGATCCGGAGTTCGGTGCAGCAGAGATATTGAGAGAGGAGCCATCGGCGAAGAGTCGGCTGAAGTACTGGGACCATGAGCTGGCGGCGGAGAGGGCTCATTTGTTTGATTTCGTGGTTACGCTTGGAGGAGATGGTACTGTGCTGTTTACGAGTTGGCTGTTTCAGCATGTGGTGCCGCCGGTGTTGTCGTTCTCGCTTGGTTCGTTGGGCTTCTTGACCAAGTTTGACTTCAATGAGTATCAGAAGACGCTGTCGGCTGCGTTTAAGGATGGCGTGGTCGTCAATCTACGACTACGGTTTGAGTGCACGATTATGAGAAGTAATCCGTTGCCGAAGGGGGAGTTGGGCCCCGGTGGGAAACGGGATTTGGTTGAGGAGTTGATTGGAGAAGAAGGTGATGATACGTTAACGCATAGACCGGATAAGGTGCTTCAGATATTGAATGATGTTGTTCTCGACAGAGGGCCGAATCCTAGTATGTCCTCTCTGTCACCTTGTCGCATGGAGTGCTTGCTAACTGTTTATATAGCTATGTCATCGATTGAGTTGTTCGGCGACGATGAACATTTCACAACGCTGCTCGCTGATGGTGTTTGCATAGCGACACCAACCGGCTCGACAGCGTATAACCTCGCAGCTGGAGGATCACTATCTCATCCGGACAACCCTGTTATTCTTGTCACTGCAATTTGCGCCCATACACTCTCCTTCAGGCCTATAATCCTGCCAGATACGATTGTTCTCCGAATGGGAGTACCCTACGATGCTCGGGCGAGCTCATGGGCCAGCTTTGATGGCCGGGAGAGGTGAGTTACGTTGACCAATTCATATAGAAATAGATGGCTAATCAGAACACAGGATTGAATTACACCCAGGAGATTATGTGACAGTATCCGCATCGCGATATCCATTCGCGAATGTTCTACCCCGTGGTCGACGTGGAGACGACTGGGTGCACACTATTTCCAAGACACTGAATTGGAACTCTAGACAGAGGCAGAAGAGTCTTGATCCGGTGGATGAAGCAAAGCGCAATAAATAAGAACTTGCTTGCTAGCAACGAGCATATGGACATGTTTACGATTCGATATACAATATTACCAAATACGGAATTTTATGCATACTGCCATAAACTTGAATATGAACATATGTAACATAACATGGGAAAGGAGAACTACCTCCTAACAAAATGATGCGCGCTAAACTTGGCGAGAAATCGAACGTTCGATTTCTTTCGTAGCGGAGGCTGGTGATGAAAATTCGGCCTCTCTAGAATCTTCGTATGGGTCGGCGGGTTTCCCGGGCAGCCTGAGGCCGACTATAAAAAGGGTCTTCCCGCACCGAAATTTTTTCTTTCTTTCTCTCGCACTTCAACTCATGTTGAGAAAAATCTCACAGACGACAAAGCTTGGTCGATTGGAATTTTATGATGATTCCCATCGAGTGCTATAGCACTAACTAGCGACATTTACTCTCATACACAACACCAATCGCATTGTGCGACTAACTTGGTAAGTTCTACAATTTTTTTTGCTTTCGCACGCATTTTACCTGCCCCAACACGACCAGAACCTTCGCCTTGACTCAAGGCGAAGGCTTCTTATGATGAAAACTTTTCCTACATTCGCAGTTTCCACGCTAGTCGTCGCCATGAACCCATCATAGACGGCTCTGTGCGCAATACTTCCTTGGATGTCTGACTTGGTCGTCAATTCTTTTTGATTTTGATTCACCATTGGTTTTGCCGCGAGCGTATGCTAATATTGCTTGCTTAGAATAGGTTTATTGGCTTTCATAGCTTTATACCCTGACAGGGGTTGATATTGAAGGAGAGGAAGGGCAATTCGAGACTTCGTCGACGCTTGCTCAGGGATTAGTTAGATTTATTCGCAATGGATATTTGTTCGATTGAAGATTGTTCGCTCGCAGATTCGTAATACACCTGTATATCCTGCAGACCGTAAAGTAGTAGAGTCTTTTCGATCCCTACCAGTAAGCACGACCTGTACATTTCTGTGGTGGCATGCGGCTCAATTAAGCCTAATTCCAAGCACCTGAGGCCATCACCAAAACTGCATGACTGCGCCCCTGCCTCCCCGTAGCTTCTTCCCCCATGCCGCCTACCGGAGGGACATCTATCAACAGCTTCGCCCGTTTCTCGTCGGTCATTCAATTCCACCTACACTCATGAACCAGCATGATCATATCGCCTGATCTTTCCTACTGAAGCCCACCAGAATGACCGACTAGCTCTCCGTGAACCAAAACCCTCGTCATCCATCGTAACCAACTCTGAATACCTTCACATACTGTCAACATGGCGCAACCCGCCCGCCACGCCGCAATGCTATCCATTAGCAACAGCGGTCCAAACCTCCCCGTGGCAGCAGCAGCAGACAGACAGCAACCGGCACAACACATCCACACGCAATCCCAATCAAGCCAGGGTCTGCGCGTCCCGTCAAACCGCAAAACCATCTACGATAGACACCTGAACCGCAGCCGCAATGCGGAGCTCAGCCGGGCTAGCTTCGCCTTTCTGTTCGCCGAGATGGTGACTTATGCTCAGAGACGAGTAACGGGAATTCAGGATTTAGAACGCCGGTACGTATAAGCTTTGCTTGCACACACCCTCCGCCCCCCCAAGTTCAAACCATATACTGATTGATATTGTAGATTGAACGAACAAGGCTACCCCCTAGGTCTCCGACTCCTCGACCTCCTCTTCTACCGCACCATGTCCAGTTCCACATCCTCCGCTCTATCCAGCTCCTCCTCAACTTCTTCTTCCCCTCCCAACCGTCCCCTCCGCATCCTCCCCCTCCTTCATCTCATCCACGGCCCTCTCTGGCGCCTCCTGTTTAATCGCCCCGCCGATGCCCTCGAGCACTCTGTCTCTCCGGAGACGCCTAATGAATATATGATCACCGATAATGATCCCCTCGTTAATACGTATATCAGTGTGCCGAAGGAAATGAGCATGCTTAATTGCGCTGCCTTCGTGGCGGGGATTATTGAGGGCGTTTGCGATGGGTGTGGATTCGAGGCGAAGGTCACCGCTCATAATCAGCCTACGGAGATGTGGCCCGGCAGGACGATATTCTTGTTGCGCTTTGGGGAGAGTGTTATGGAGCGGGAGAAGGTTTTGGAGAGGGCGGGCGTTAAATAAACTTATGGGATATATAATGATATCCTTGTGCGGCGGCTGTTTATTCTATTCCCTACGGTGTATGATCGGCCATTGTTTATGCAGCGATTTGTTTCAGTATTATAGAATGCGAACGGGTTCTTGTGATGTGTGGTGTTATGGGTTACGTCGGTTGGGTGTGGAAAGAGGTACGGTTTATATGTGACAGTCGCAGCAGCATTCATTGTTGATGCCGGCGTGATGAGTCCGCTCGAACATCTGTGTGTTGTATGTGCAACAGCAAGACGTTTATATTTACGTTGCTGTTCGTCCGCCGAACGAACACGCAGGTAGAGTCTATTCTCCTAGGAGGCCACATTAACTGCAGGAGGAAATTGCATCAATCATGACCCAATCCATCCTTCATATCAAGATACCCACATAAACGCCGATTAGAAATAGAATGTCCCCATGGCCTAATTTGCATGCTTTTCTTTTACCGTTCGGGCGAAACACTCACGCGCCTCCGTTTCTCCCGATCTTCATAAGGCGACGGGCTCCGTTTCCTGCGACTGCTCGTATCAGGCCTATACCGGTCTGCTGAACGATCGCGACGGTCTCGCCGCGGCGAGCGTGATGGCGATCTAGACCTCCGTCTCTCGCGCACAGCAGAGGCATTAGCCCCAGTAGGTCCCTTAGGTCTATCATCACGGTCACGGTCAGGCATGAATCGCTCGTCGGTAATGCCTATAGGGGCTCCACCATCGCGATTCCGAGACCTGTTCTGGAACCCTTCGCCAAAGCGACCTGTGTCCTCTGATTTCAGATCCCTATAGCGCGTGCGTCCCTTCTTTCCAAGCTTCGTCATATCACGGATCTGCATGTACTGAGGTAGAGTCTCCCGCGAGACATCGTCCGCAAACTTCGCACCCATGATATTCCTCTGTGCCAGTCCCTCGCGCTCCATGTCCTCGCTGAAGAACGCTCCCTTATGAAAGTACCGCTGCATGTATCCGGCCTGGCCTCGAGTAGCCTCCTTCTCTTCCTCCTGCTTGGCGAGATATTCGCGATCTTCGCGATCGCGCTCCTCGGCAGTGAGATTCCTGCGCCGCTCGACCTCTTCACGCTCCTTCTCCGCAGCCTCGATCGCTTCACGCTCGCGCTTGATGCGCTTCAGTTCTCGGAGCTTCCACGCCGCGTACTCCGCCTCGGGATCCTTTCCGTCGGTATCGTCAATCGCGCCTTCTTCGCCGACTTCGAGCTCGTCGTCATCCCACGCCCGATTCGCCTCGCTCCGAGCAATGGCGTCCTTCTCTAGTTGTTCCCGAATCAAAGCATCGGCTTTCTCCTGTCGCTGCTTCCGACGCTCCTCTGTCTCGGCTGAGCTATCCACCACTGTGCCTGTCGCGGCTTGGCCGTTCTGTGTTTGAGCGGGGGCGTTGTTGCGCCTGTCTTTCCTGATGAACGTAGGTCGTAAAAGCACTCTGCGCGGTGCCTCGTCTTCGGAACTGCTCTCTTCTTCGGAACTCTCTTCCTCTTCATCCTCCTCCTCCTCCTCTTCTTCGTCCGATTCATCCTTCACCGTAGCCGTCCGCGCCGGCGCAGCCACCCTGTCGCCAGCAACAGGAGCAGCCGCCTTCGCATGCTTGGCCTCATCTTCTTCCTCCTCATCCTCCGTCACAAACCCCTCTTCATCCTCATCTGCTTCCTCCTCCTCAATCTTCACATCCTTAACACCCCGAGCGATCTTCGCCGCGCCCGCAGGAAACGAGCTCGCCTTGGGAGCTTGTCGTCGCTGTTGTTCGAGTCTGCGTCGCTCCTGCTGTTTCTGTCTCTCGGCTTCCTTCTTGGCTTCTGCTTCCTCTTCGTCCTCTTCTTCCGATGACGAGGGCTCCTCGGCGATGGCTTTTCCGGGTCGATATCTGCTTGGTCGGACGGGGTTTGCGGTCATGCCGCGATGGGAGGAGGGGAGGGGAGGTGGCATGTCGATTAATGAATTGTGGGAATCAATTTAACAATAGAAGAGAACTGCGCGAAGTACTATATTTCTCTCTTGGATTGGTAATGAGATTGAATTAGAAGTGTAGCGCGTGGCGTTATTCTGGATTATACTCTGTAAAAAAAGAATTACCGGCAGTCGGAGTCCATACTTAGCTCTCTCTCGCTCTCTCTCCGCCTTCAATAATCGAACCTTAGGCCGAGATCCAGACATGCAGAAAGCTCCGGGCAGTCACATGACCACGCGTCACGCGCGCCGCGCCTATCCCATCTACTACTACTAACTACCTAAACTATTGTGATCAATACCATATCAATATCATATCAACACCATTTCCACCATTACTTGCTCCTCTTCCTTTCAAATACCCCCTTGATAACCAACTCAGCAAACAAATCCACCCGCCAACACCACCTCCACGAACGAGAAGAAGGAAATAGGAATAAGCAATAAAAATGTCCCTCCAAACCCCCCGCATCCTCCCCTCCCACCTCCACGCCTTCCACCCCTCCTCCACCGGCCCACGCACCTCGCATACCGTCCGCATCCTAGGAACAGTGACTGCTCTGCGCGGCGACACGGCGACCATGACGTGCGGAAACCACGGCGATGTGACGCTCATCTTGAAGCCCGATTCGCATTTGCAGATGGGGAAGTTGGTCGAGATTATTGGCAAGGTTGCTGATTTGGATAATGGGAGTGTATGTTCAATACCTTTCCCCCCTCCCTGATGTTTTTGGGGGTAGGGCTGGGTTGGTTTTGGGATGGTTGATGGATAATGGCTGATGTTGTGGTGTATAGGGTGTCGGTATTAGAGTCCTAGGCAGTACGGATTGGGGGAGTCCGGCGGATTGTGGTACGTATTTTCACTTTCTTTTCTTGTAAATGAGGAGCAGAAGGGGATAAGGATAAGGTGCTAATTGACATTGATTGTAGACTACAAGATCTATGAGCATGTTGTCAATGCTACGCATAAGCTCAAGCCTATCTTTTATGATGAGTGAGTGGCTGTTAGGGAGGATGATAATGTGGTATAAAAGAATGGGTTAGTGGACAGGTAAAAGGCATGCTGAGCTACGTAAGATATCTTGCTGCGCTGGGTGGTTACTAGTATCTTTATGTGTCCTGCAGCTGAGGTGTCATTTGCATCGTGTTCGGGTTATTCTTCGGCGTTGGGTTAAATCTACGATATCTGTCTATCAAAATATTATACGGTCGATTTACAATCCACTACAGTAAACACAGCTTGTCAATTATTATTCACTTATTGTATGTTAAGCATCGAGTGCTGGTATCTTGTTCTAATCCTTCAATCCTCCCAAGTTTCCATCCGTAATATCCATCCCATTCAATCCACTTCCAACAAAAGCATATCATAGCCTTAGGTTATCCCCAAAGAAAGACAGTAGCGGCAAATGGCACATCACCATTGCCTATCCATCCAACGCCATCGCTAGAATAAAAACACAGGTAAAGAAATATCAAGTGAAAGTCGGCATCGTCGTAACACAAAAAGGAGACTCATTAAGCATCATTGGTAGTCTGGGGTTCCTTGTCCTTGGCAGCTTCTTCAGTCGCCTTCTCTTTCACGCCCAGGGCCAAGCTGTCGGCGTTGAGTGCGTCGGAACTGAAGAAGCCAGAGTCCAGGACATTGTTGTCAACGTAGTTGAAAATATCGAATTGGGGGTTCTTTTGGAGGTCCGGATCAGACAGCAGCGCATTGATGAGATCTTGAGAGTCTTCACCAGCTGGCTCGCCGTCAGTACCCGTGGGAGACACATAGTCCGAAGGGATCCAGTCAGGCCAATTGCCCTTGTTCGCATCGAGTGCGAAAAGCGCGTCAGCATTGGCAGAAGGTGCGTCCGAGAAGATATCCACAATCATGTTGTCTATCCCGCTAAACGCGTCCGTGCTGAAGGCATCATCTGCCAAAGCGGGAAGCCCAAGGCCCTGCGTGCGTGACTGCTTGGGCGTTTTGCTGTGGCGCGATGCCGGCCCCGGGCTGCTCTGGATCCGCTGAAGTCTTTGCGCGGTGACCCTGGTGGGCGTCGCATCGCTGCCGAGTCCCTTCCGGGTCCGCGAAGGCGAATCGCCGGGAAGGGAGTGCCGCTTCTCGCCCAGAATGCTGGCGCGGGGGTTGCGACGCCGAGGAGTGGGGCTGGTGGGCAGGTCAAAGTCAAACTCGGGACTCTCGAAGAGGTCGTCCAGGTCAGCAGAAGTCTGATTTTCCTTGTCGTCAGATCGCTTGTCCGATCCGCTATTGACACGAGGGCTCCGCCGGGGGCTGTTCAAGGTGGAGTCACCTAAAGCTCGCAAAGGCCCGCCCTCATTGTGCGAATTAGGAAAAAGCACTCTTCGCACAGACTTAGGAGTAAGAGCATTCTCACCCGCAGCAGAAGCATTGCGGTGCTCAAGATTTCTAGCTGGACTGGACTGGATCGCTGCTCGGAGGGCTTCCACCGGATCGTTCTCGTGCCAACGGCTACCCGCAGTATCGGTCGATTTGCGCGGTTCCAGGCTGTTTGCGCGGCGTCGCTTGGCTGGGAGCTCCTGGACATCATCATTGTCCTGCACACTGCTCGGCTCGTTCTCGTTGTTTTCATTGTTCTCGTTATCACCGCGGGGAGTAGTGCCATCGTCCACTGGAGGTGAGGATGCATCAGATACGCCGGGCGAAGAGGCATCGGGCTTTCCGGCTTCAGCTCTGACGCGGTTCCTCGCCGATGGAGGGTTGCCGGACAGCGGACCGCCGCCCTTGCGGTTCCTGGGAGGGCGCTTCCTCTTGTTGTTGCCGGACTTGTTGTTCCACTTGTTTTCTGGACGCATGCACTTGAACTTATGAAGCCAGAGACCACAGGCTAAAATATCATTAGTGACTGAAAGAATGAACTAACTGGAGGGTTACTTACGATTGCAGAGCAGGACTTGAACAAAGTCCTTATCAGTATCCACTAGGCTCTTCTTGTAGATCTTGAATTTGGTGACCTTTTCTTGATCATCGCGATCCACGGCTTGCCAGAACAACATAGCAGAATCTTTGACGAGATCAATGGCCTCTTCTTCGGTACCATCGATCTCCTTGGACCATGCCCTACGCCAGGTAGGGGTTTCAATCGAGCCGCAGTTTTCACAATAAGGAGGAGCCTGTCCGTCCCGAATGCACTGGGCAAGACGTGCTTGAACCTGCCGCACTCGTCTCGCACCAGCGCCACTGCGAACCTTGCCGTCCTCAGTAGGGGGTGGAGGTGCGGGTGTTTCCGCGACTGAAAAGTCACTCATCGGTCCATTCCAGGATTGTGTGTTGGGCACATGCACATGGGTAGGCATTACCGGATCACTCGCAGGGATAGCACTCATCAGCTGTTCCAATTCGCTTTGCGACATGGGAGCGGGCGCGAGAGGCTTGGGAGTTTGTCTGATACCGGCACGAGACGATGGCCGCGACCCCGCAGCACTAGCTGGGGCACGAGGAACCGCAGATACCTTGTCCTTAGCAGTTTGATCCGGCAGGGCATCGCTGGCGGGATAAGTATCATGGTTCAGGGGCCCAACAGGTGAGCTCGCTGGCACAGCAGGACGCACACTTCGTTTGCCTCGAGTTGCATCATTGGATCTCGTGCAGTCCTCCAGCGGCGTACCAATATCCTCATCCAGGAGATCGTCCATGCCCCCGCTCATGAAGCCTGAATCCGGGTCAGTGGCCATAGGCGGGAGAACTGGGCTGGAGCGGTTTGGAAAGCCGCAGTCGAGAACAGGAGGCGAAGACGGCATATTGAATGAAGGTTCGAAGATGCCTTGGTAGCGAGACTCCTCCGGCGACTGGGTGTTGTGGTCACCTGGATGATCATCGGCCGCAGTGTATGGTGACGTGTACTGAGGAGTGCTCTGCATTGACGACTCACGCAAGAGGCTGGGCCGGGGGCGTGCTCGGCGAGGCAGTTCATTCGCATGAGAAATCGGAGTTGGCGGGCGAACAGGCTCCTCATTTGAGCTCTGAGCAGCAGCGATTGAAGGATTGACGGGGGTAGGGCGATGAATACGCACGGACGCCGCAGTGCTTGCGGCCACACGAAGGGAGCTGGGTTGCCTTTCAATGTTCAAGTCTGACTTGCCGGGCCAATCCGCACGATACAATTTGGCTCTTTTCCGAGGTTGCTGTTCCGATGATTCATCACCACTACCGTAGCCGGACTGCATGGATCCTCTGCGGCTGGCATATCTCGCATGCATTGGGAGATCAGACTCGCGCATAGAAGCACTCGATGTCGGTCGAATAAGTTCGCTGTGAGATCTTTCCTGGATTTGGTCTTGCTGCTGCGCGGATGGCTGATAACCAGGGGTGGACATCCGGCTTCCATGACCAAGCACAGACTGCGAGGGCGACACCGAGCGAACAGACCCATTGGCGGCAATCGAAGGCAGCTCCCTTGGCGTTGAGCCTTCACTCAGTAGGCGATGGAACCGCTCAATTCCGGCATGGTCCACAGGCGATGCCGTGCGGTCGGGCTGTTGAGGACGATGGGCCAGCAGACCGGGGTTTTGGCGAAGAAAACTCGTCCAGGCCTGTGCGTCAAAGTCGTGGGGAATGACATTGCTCAGTTCGCGATATCTCTGCATGCTGTCCAGGTACTCGCTCTGCATAACTGTGGGAACAGGAACTAATCGCAATTTGACCTCCAATGTTTCCTGTGCACCTTTCGAAAATAACCCTAGAACATTCTTGCAGACACGACCGGTGACCATAGTTTCCGACTGATGTGCTGGTGCATCGGGAGTCGGGGAAGACGAAGCCAACACCCATGATAGCATCCCTTGTCCGACGAGGGGCGTCTCATATTCGGAGTAGTCGTAGGCGTACACCGTGTAATCCTGTCCAAGTTTGGCAACTAGTTCCGGACTGTCACATGAAACCATTGCAATAAGTATCCACGTAGTGTCGGTTGACCCTATGGCGAAAGCACTCACCTTGCCGAAACAATGGCTTGAATGCAGGTCTTCAATTCGATGACCCCAATTTGGGTCTTCTCATCGAGGGCAGCAGTCTGGATGTCGAGAAGATGGGGCCATCGGGCCAGACAGTTTGTCTTGTTGGCATCGTCGAATGTGTAGAGCACCTTCACTGCAAGTTTCGGAGCCACACAATTAGTATCGAACAAACTTGACACCACGAAAGGAAGAAAAAAAAATAATTACTCACGCCTCATAGGCCGGACGGAAATCCCGTCCTGAGAGTCCATGCCACCAGATGAAGGAAATCAACCATATGCTGGACCACAAAACCAAAGTGTAGAGTGAGAGAGCTGTAAGGTTCCGGAGAGAGAGAAGAGGGTTGCAGCCGGGTTGCTCGGAAGGTATTTCGAAAAGGGAGTGTCGAAGGTGTAACCCGAACAACAGGGTTCAAGAGATCGACCGTTGAGAACGAAGCAAGGTAGGGTTGTAATAATATCGTTGGATATGCGTCTAGCGTTATCGACCACTCAGAAAGGCCCAATTGGCGGGAGTGTCAGCCAGGGGAATGCCGAGGCGTGGATGTACTATGCAACGGAGGTCGCGGGGAAAGAGCCTGTGGAATGCCAACGCGGGACACGGAGCAACGAAAGGAGGAGAGGGTGCGGTGAGAAACCTGAGGCATGGGAGAGAGGAGGATATTTAGAAGAGAGAAAAAGGAGGAGAGAGAGATTAATCCAATGTGAGGCACTGGAGGTTGCTCCCTTTAACCGCAGGCCGAGGAGTTGGGGGGAAGAAGGGAAAAGGAGGAGGGACAGAGGTGAGGGTGGAAGGAGAGAAAAAGCGCAGACGCCTTGCATTTGAAGAAGTGATGAAGCTTGGACGAGAGCGCATCCGAGCGTGTCGGACGCGACGTGACGCCCAGCCAATCGCGCGCTCGGCTATTCCCGCCGCTCAAACACGGCAAACACGCGTGGCACGTGACAGCACTCGCGCCAAGCCAGGCTTCCAGAACAGAAGCTGCGGATTGAGATGCTCTCAAGTCGTCCCCGATCAA